CCATGGCGACCGCGGAGCCCAGTGGGCGCGCGGTGCGTGCCTCTGGCCCGGGACCCCGGCCCGGCGGAGCCCGGGACCGTGCTGCAGGGCCACCCTCCGGACAAATGGGTAGTAGAGCCCTCCGGCCGGGGGACCGCATCCCCGCGGCCGTGGAGAAGCGGGGACCGTACATGGTGACGCGCGCGCCCTCCATTCAGGCCAAGCTGCGTGAGTGTGGCTGGGGGAGGGCTCTGCCCGGGCGGGCTCCGGAGCTCCGCGGGGCCTCGCCCCCGGGAGGGAAGGGATCGCTGCGGCCTGCTCCCCCTTCAAAGTTCGTTCGGAGAGATCGGCCTCCCAGCGTGCGGGAGTCTCGGCAGAGTGGGGAAGACCCGGCTGACCCGGACCCTTTAACTTCCAGAGAAGCACCGGGACCTGGCTAAAGCCGTGCTGCGGAGAAAGGGCATGCTGGGGGCCTCGCCGAACCGACCCGACTCTTCAGGGAAAAGGTCTCAGCAGGCGCCACCCCCTCCTTGCCGCCAGCTTTCAGAGAAGGCCTTAATCCTCGGCGGGGAGACAGGGTGCTCACGTTTAAGGCCCAGCTAGTGATTGTCCCGACGGCCTGTCAGGTTCAGCATCTTTAAGAGGAAGAACCTCTTTTCCTTTAAGGATGTGTTAGTATCAGGGAAAGGGCTTTGGAATAAGGGAATTCTAGAGCAAAAGATTGTTCAGTGACTGAGTTTCTAAGTTAGGGAGGAGAAGGGTGGCTGGAATCCCCAGGAGTGAGGATGGTGGGAATGGCCAGTGCTGTTTTTTTTAATTAACAGAATGGGAAACTTTCAGAGCTCGATAGGACCTTATTCAGTGCCTCCTTTTACAGATAAGAGCTGAAACCTGGAGATATTAAGGGGTTTGCGCAAGGACTTGTAATTTTTCTGTCCTCTGGTTAAATAAGGTGAGAGGGAGGTGCTTTTTTTCCTAGAGCAGTTGGGGGAGTGGAATGAGGAAATACATGTTCTGAGGACCTGATGTGTAGTTGCAGGTAGTGGTGACTGCGTGACCAGGTAGAAGGCAAGTCCGTAGTGCAGTCAATGCTTCCATGCAGGTGAGGACTCTGACTCCCTGTGAAATGCTGGTGCGTTCATCTGTGCTTGGTCTCTTACCCCCCCATCTCCCTTCAGGTCAGTGAAGTTTAACAAGGGTTATACTGCTCTTAGCCAGAGTCCAGAAGAAAACCTAGTGCCCCTCGACTCTGACAGGTGAGTGTTCCCCTTGGAAATACCCCTTAAGGAGCAACTTGGATAGAAGTGCAGATCGCTTAGTGCCTTTGTGTGTTCCCTAGCTCCTCTAAGGCCTTCATGTACATTCTAGGGCTGTTCTCTTCTGAGCATGAGCCCTTCCCATGATGGTGTGACTAGAAGGCTCACAGGTAATTGTGCTATTCTACGATTTGGAGCACGATGTTCTCTGGGGACATCATCCACCCTATTATGTCTGCGCTGTTAGTGAAAATGATCCTGTCCCTGCCAGAGCCAATTGAGAGAAGCACTTTTACTCAGGGTAAAAGTGCTCCGGGCTTGAGTTCTTTAGCATGGCCTTTGCTTCTCAAGTCTTCCAGACGCCTTTGCAGGCTCTCCACCTTGCCATCTGCAAGTGCCCCACAAATGTCCCTTGAACTGACTGTTTTTCTCTTCTTCTAGTGATGGCGAGCTGGAATCCAGATACTCCTCCGGTTATTCTTCTGCAGAGGCAAGTCCAGAGCGCCTTTCTATGCGGCTCCAGGCTGCAGGCAGCATCACTGCCACTGCCAAATGCTTGTTTGGTGCCTGCCATGTGCACAGCACTGTGCCAGACTTCCGATCTGTTCCTGGTCTTCCATTCTTCCCTCCTCTCCTTATAAGCATGCCCACCCTGCCCAACTTAGAAGATTTTTGAGGTCATGATCAAGCCCAGAGGTATATGGTCTCCAGGTTTTTCTTTTTTTTTTTGAGTTTTAGTCTCACTCCATCTTCTAGACTGGAGTGCAGTGGCACGTTCACGGCCACCCCAGCGTCAGCGTGCTTGACTCAAGTGATCCTTATGCCTAAACCTTCCAAATAGCTGGAACTAGCCACCACACCCGGCTAATTTTTTGATTTATTATAGAGATGGGGTCTTACCAAGTTTCCCAGGCTGGTCTTGAACCCGTGAGCTCAGGCAATCTTCTCACCTTGGCCTCCGTAAGTGCTGGGAGTATAAGTGTAACACACTGCACCAGGCCTCTCTCTCTCTCTCTTTTTTTTTAGTTGGAGTCTCACTCTGTCGCCTAGGCTGGAATGCAGTGGCATGCTTACCACCACTGTAGCCTTGACCTGCTGAGCTCAGGCAACCCTTCCACCTCAGCCTTCCAAGTAGCTAGAACTCTAGGTGCACGCTACCACTCCCAGCTAATTTTTTGATTTATTGTAGAGACAAGGTCTCGCCATGTTGCCACAGGCTTGTCTCGAACCCATGGGCTCAGGCAGTCCTCTCACCTCAACCTCCCAAAGTGCTGGGATTACAGGCTTGAGCCACTGCGTCCAGCCCTCTTTCTGTCTGTTTTTTTTTTTTTTTGAGTTGGAGTCTTACTCTGTCGCCCAGACTGGAGTGCAGTGGCCACTCCCGACCACCACAGCCTCGCCTGCTGGGCTCCGGCAATCCTTCCGGCTCAGCCTTCCAAGTAGCCGGAATTACAGGCATGCGCT